TCTCCCCTCTCGATCCTCTCTCTTCACCCCTCTCGATCGTCTCTCTCCCCTCTCGATCCTCTCTCTCCCCCTCTCGTCCCTCTCTCCCCCTAGCTCTCGACCTCTCTCTCCCCCTGCCGATCCTCTCTCTCCCCTTCTCCGATCCTCTCTCCTCACCCCTCTCGATCCTCTCTCTCCCCCTCTCGTCCTCTCTCTCCCCCTCTCGATTCCTCACTCTCCCCCTCTCGATCCTCTCTCTCATTTTCCCTCTCGATCCTCTCCTCACCCCTCTCGATCCTCTCTCCCCCTCTCGTATCCTCTCCTCGCCCTCTCGCTCCTCTCCCTCCCCCTCTCGATCCTCTCTCTCCCTCTCGATCCTCTTCCTCCCCTCGTCGATCCTCTCTCTCCCGCCTCTCGATCCTCTCTCTCCCCCTCCTCGATCCTCTCTCTCCCCCTCTCGATCCTCTCTCTCCCCTCTCGATCCTCTTCTCTCCCCCTCTCGATCCTCTCTCTCCCCCTCTCCGATCCTCTCTCTCCTCCGCTCTCGATCTCTCTCTCTCCCCCTCTCGATCCTCTCTCCCCTCTGATGCCTCTCTCCCCCTCTCGATCCTCTCCTCTCCCCTCTCGATCCTCTCCTCCCCCTCTCGATCCTCTCTCTCCTCCCGCCTCGATCGCTCTCTTCCCCCTCTCGATCCTCGTCGTCTGCCTCTCGATCCTCTCGTCCCCTCTCTGATCGCTCTCTCCTCCCCCTGCTCGATCCTCTCTCTCCCTCTCGATCCCTCTCTACCTCGTCGATCCTCTCTCTCCTCTCGATCCTCTCTCTCCTCGGTCGATCCTCGTCGTCTCCTCTCGATCCTCTGCTCTCCCGTCTCATCCTGCTCTCTCCCTCTCGATCTCTCTCTCCTCCGATCCTTCTGCTCCTCTCGACCTCTTCTCCTTCGATCCTCTCTTCCCTGCTCGAGCCTGCTCTCTCCCTCTCGATCCTCTCTCTCCTCTCGATCGCTCTCTCTCGCCTCTCGAGGTCCTCTCTCTCCCTCTCGAGTCCTCTCTCGTCCCTCTGCGATCCTCTCTCTCGCCTCTCGGATCCTCTCTCTCCTCTCGAGATCCTCTCTCTCCCCTCGATTCCTGCTCGTACTCCCTCGTCGATCCTCTCTCTCCCCTCTGATCCTCTCTCTGCGCCTCTCGTATCCTCTCTCTTCCTCTCTCTTCCTCTCGATCCTCTCTCTTCCTCTCGATCCTCTCTCTTCCTCTCGATCCTCTCTCCTCTCCAAGCGCCTTGCCATTCTCTCTCCTTATCCACTGCCTTCTTACTGTTAACCTATGCTATTCGATCTTTCACCCACTGTTCACTCATCTTACAGCTTACGAGTCGTTCCAACTTTCATCCTATCGTGTTTTCGACCATTAGCCCTTACACCTTTTTAGACATTATTCTTTGCACTCCTTATATACTCGTCGTCATAGCACAAAGAAGAACCACGAATTCGTTCTCTTGGAATGTACTGTTTTTCTGCTATTTCACTCGCGTAATCTTCCCTTGTGTGCAATGTTTCGTATTTCCCTGTATGAGTTTTCTCTCCTCAGGCAAGTTCCCTTTTTTCTTGAAAACTTTCCACACCTTGTCTGATTTTTTTTATTTTGTTGTATATTATTTGTTAAATACGTTTATTCCACTCACGAGATTTCTTCCGCATAAATCTTTCATACTTGTGGTGACGTTACTGTTATGTGTTCTAATCGCATTTTAACATTTCATTTTGTGTTGGTTTTCTATCAGTAATATTTCTCCTATAAAATGTGTATTATTTTATTTGGCCGTATTTTCCATCACATTTTAGAATATTGCAATGTTCTAACCGATGGGAATAAGATAATTGAATCATGAAGTGGTATTGCAGATGAACTAATTAAAACATTGTAGCATTCGAGTAAAATGAAAAAGAGCCAATATACAGAGATACAAAGCGTGAGCAAAAAGGTTGACATCAATGTAGCTGATCAATCATTAATAGTATGAGCTGTAGCATTTTTCGAAGTGATATTCTTTTTTGTCATTTCCTTTGAAATCGTAGTTGTATAAAACATGTCTCACTGAAAGTAGAACGACGGTGAAGTTGTCTTTGTTTGTGGTTATTACACACTGATAAAAATACAAAATTGACTGCGGCTGACCGATTGCCAAAATATTACTTTAAAAATATTATAGAAAAGTAAAAACGCGTTCTATATGGAAATTTTTGTTCACAAATTTGGAGCTTTATTTAAAGAAAATTCTGTTCAAACGTTTTCGTCATTTTCGAAAAAAAAAGAATTTTTGCTGAAAATAGGACTACCACCATATTTTTTACCATCCCTAATACATTTAAGGAGAAACGTTAAGAAAGTGGTGCGACTTTTGTGAAAAAATGTAAAAAAATTATAAATTGCCTATATTTCGCGCAAACTTACTTTAAAACTACTCGTATTTTTGAAAAAAATTCAAGATTCAAGTTTTCAAGATCTGTATTTAGCTTGTGTGAAGTTATTCTACGAGTATTTCTTTGCAATGTGCTGAAAATACTGTAACGTTTCATGTTTGTTTCACTTGTAAAAGTAAGACATGACTGTTGCTATTACTATAGAAATAAATGCAAGTATGCACCAGAGGCGCTTAGTTTGAATTTATTGAATTGGACATTTTCGATTAGAACAAGTCATAGTTGATTCGTCGGTAGGGTTAAATGGCAATATTTAATATTACGTAACAGTTTCCAACAATGAGAGAAAGTATGTGCTGTTTAGCATCTCTTCTTACGTATCAACGAATGCTGTGATGGCCGGTTGCTTTGCTTCTGAACATAGATGTAACTTCACTACCTGTGCTCGTCTAGTAGATATCAGTGAGAAGTAGTTATTCAACTTATCGTTCTCCATGTTCTCGCGACAGTAAATCGATTCCTTCACAAACGGGACGATGAGGGATAATATCCCGAATCTATAGTTTATTTGCTTGCAAAAGACTTTTATTATACCAGAGCGAATATTTTCTTATCAATTCTTGCCAAACGCTCATTTCCTCTTTATTCAAAATTCAACTTGTGTGTGAATTAGAATAGGAACTCTCCAATTTAAGAAAACGTGCATAGAATATAATTCTCCCCATAGTACTCACACAGTTTATAACTGTTTTTGGCATTAAATAAACAAATAAGTAAAGCAGTGTGCAAAATAATATTTCTTACAAATACTCTGAGACTGATGTTTATAACAGAGAAAGATAATTTCTCGTGAATTTCACTACTTAATACAAGTATTAACCTAACATGCTCCTTTAACGTCAAGTAATACCAAAAATTCTAACTAGTTATTCAAAGCCTCAACAACATTATCTGTAACAAAGAAAGTAAATCACCTACTGGGTAATGACCTCCCTCACGATTCGATTTTTCGTCCAGTTTTTTCTTGATTCATTAAGATGGAATCCTGATTTTTTCTTGACTGTGAAAGTAAGTTCTATTTTGTTTCTTTTTCACATGTAGTATTTTCAAATCAAATCTGTAAATCCTTTGCCTCTGAAAATACACTACATGTGCTCGTAACATTCTCCGCCTTTTAATCGTCGATATTCGCTGTAACCTGTAGCGCGAGCTTGAGACGATAACTTACGCATCTATCGTGATAAGTTATTAGCCGCAAAGATACAAAAATAATTCCACGGTTAGTTTTAAAGCTTTCTTTATATATATATATGCAGTACTATGCTGAATGGGATACTTAATGACCGGTTAGTAAGACCCAATACATATTATATGAACTGCAATGTTACTGTAACATGCTATTGTAAACACAGTAACATGTGTTACGTATTTTCCCCTACCTAGGAAGTTAACCAAAATTCGTTTCCTAACTCATATCCATAATATTAACATAAATTATGCTATAAATCAATTGATACTGATAAAAAAGGTATGAACAGTATATTCAAATGCTATAAAAGGAACTCGGTTCAACTGGCCCTACCATTATCTGGTTTAGGTACTGTTCCCGTAGTGGCTGCTTAAAAAGTGTTCTAAAACTTCGTTATATGGGAGTAAAATTATTTTTTGCCATCAAATGTTTTCTAACAACACTCGTCGCTGTATTTATTGATAATTCAACTAGGTTTAATTAAAGGTGGGAAAGAATCAAGGCACTCAAGAGAACGTGCACTGAACTCACCCGCACGTCAGTGTTTACTGTTTCTTTGGCAGTAAATTAATGTATAATAATAATAAAATATAATATAATATAATATAATATAATATAATATAATATAATAATAATAAAGATATTAAATATGTATCTGCTGTGTTGTGCGGTGAAGTGCTGGTCAGTGTGTAATTCAAAGGTAATCCAAAGCAAAAAAATGCAGTGTAGTGAAGTGTAGTGAAGTGTAGTGAAGTGAAGTGCGGTGAACGTGATCAATGCACTTTTCAATGCTGCTTTTCGTCTTGTACTGGTATGAAAATACCGGCCTGATTATTATTAATATTATATTATTCCCTGATCCTATGCTAAAATCTCACCTATTATAATCCAAGTGTTTGTATATTTTGCCAATTATTGCCAAAATTAAACTGCCACGCGCGAATTCTATACCCCCAATTGCAGTTCTAAAGATTAATGTATTAATACTTCATTACAGTGCTGGGCGCACCTCCGATGTTCAGAAGGGTTCTTGTCCGCATACGCTCTCTATGAGGCGGTGTCGGGTTCAATTCCCGTTTGGAGCAAAAATGAAGATGCAGCTACGAATATATGCCCATGCTCACCAAAAGACTTCATCACTCTCAGGCGTGGATAATAAAATAAAAAGGGACTCAGAGGCCTACGAACACGGCTAGCAAATGTTGAATTGATCCGACAGGTATAATGTCAAACACATACATACATACATACATACATACATACATACATACATACATATCACAATAATAAAATATTGACAGCACAGAAAACCATGCATGTCGAATGATTAAATGGAGTTTCCGTTGCAAACTAACCTTGCTCCTGTCACACGAAAATGTTCTCGTTTATCCAAAGGAACTTTTTATAAACTGCAATTCACCTGAAAAGAACAATATTTATTAGATTTACAAGAACGTTCTAAGATACTTTAAGTAACAATACTTATAAAACATTGAATCATTAAATGGAATAATAATATCCAGGAATAAGTTCTAACCTCTTTTGTGCATATACGAATATCATAGTTTTTAATTAAATTGATGTACAAATTATTCATATATAACTTAAGATAAATGACCTTTTAGGATTTTTGAAACTAACAAGCCTCAAAAGTTACTGTGATCGTGCATAATTGTTGTAAACATTAGAGAAAGCAAAACGTAAAATATAAAAAATAAATTTCGTTAATTAACCAGGAATTGCAAAAATTGATCCTCTATACATTTGAATATAATCCTATCTCTCTTAAATTATTTAATTTAAGAATATCCACCAGTCAGAGTACACTTGATAAAACTGGTTCACGAATCAATAATGCACTGATTATGAATATGTAATTCAAAGGTTACCTGATAAATATATAATGTTATCAGTTAAAAATTATTTTTAGCACAAAAACAAGTTTAAGAAAAAGTGTTTGCCAACCAACATTTTTTGAACAATCCTCTTCATTATGCTGCTTGATTCAAGATATCCTCTTGCCTCCTCGCCTTTAATTTGTCAATTAACTAAGTTCCTCATTATAGGAAACAAAGTTTGAAAATTAATCAACTTGCAAGAAAAATCCTTCTCGTTTCGTGTAAGTTTTAACAACTCTCACATTTGATGATCAGGGCACAAGCTGTCGTTTCTCTTCATGCTTTTATTTGATACATTAAAAAGGATTTAAAATAGTTTTTTTTATTTAAAAAATGAAAATGAAAATTGTTTCAGTATTTTATTTAATTGTATGTAATAGTGATATGGACTTTACTTCTAAATTCGCAAAAAAAAGTCAATATGCTTATTTTATTGTAATTAAATTTAAAAAATCTATTCCAAAGCGGTAAAAAGGCGCAAATTATCAAATTTAGCAAGAATATTTTCTACTGATTCGTCCGGTGAGCAAATTCCAAGCGTGAAAAAGTCTTATGTCATATTCCGTTTGTTATTATTGTGGAAGACTAAGAAACGGTGAAAAAAAGTAATGCTGTAAAATATTTAAGATTTTACGAAGTAGTATACGCGAAATTAAAAAGACTGTACAAAAGTGTCTCATTTTGGCATAGGAAACATACATCGTCACCTTTCAAGAAGTGAATGATACCTGTTCGCTCCACTCAATAATAACTCGGATTCGAGTTTTAGGCGTCAGAAAATTAAGAGCCAAAAAGATATTTTAACTTGATTGTTCTCTTCATGCACCAAAAACATTATCTTTACGGATGGAGGCCAATTCTTCATTAATGGAAAGAATGGTAGCCGTCTAGTGTAGAGGAAAAAGAACACAGAGTTTGAGCCGCAAAATTTAATTCCGACCGTAAAACACAGATGTAGTCTTAGTATGGAGGTGTACGAGTGCTAGTAAAGTCGAGAATTTGAGCATCAGAGATGTTTTAATGAACTAATATGAGTACATTGACTTTTTTAAGAAATAATTTGAGAGCCAATGCTGCTTTAATGAATTTAGGACAAGCCTACATTTTTCAACAGTATGATGATCATTAGCATACTGTATTCAATACAAAACTTCGTTTATTGTACAATACACGAAGACAAATGCACTCTCTTTCTCAGTCCCTGAACCTAAATCTGATATAACCTTTTCGAGTTTTCTAAAGAAAAAATATAAATTGAAAAATTGCGGAAGCAAATTGCAATAGAATTGACAACAGCTTCCATTCTCGTAAGAAGAATGGGGTAATATTTCTCCTCAAATTATCCCTTCCATGCCACAGAGACTTAGGGCCAAAGAAAACAGCACAAAATATTAACATGGTTTTTTTTTACCAAATGTAAGAACTAGAACTATACGTGTCAAAAGACTTTTTATGCCCCCTTTCGCCGTAGCATTTCTTGTCTTCATCAGTACCATAGTATTTGTCTGGCTTTGTTAAATTGTTTTCGTGGAAATATAGGAACAAATTAATTGTTGTCAAGATTGTTTTATCTTATTTATGTTAACTCCATCCGCAAAGTTTCCACATACTCAAAACAAAAAGATATGCAAGTGTCCACTCACTTTTTACGTTAATTGGAGGTATCAATGTTATTCACAATAGTAACCTTGTGTTGCAAGGTGACGTGCGTTGGACTTGAATGTGTGCTTGCTGTGTTTTCTTCCATCATAATCTGCAAAATTCTCTTAAATCTGATTGAGGGATTTCTGAAGTAACCCCCTGTTGAGTAGTAGCACATTGACAGGATTTTGTGATTATGGAGCTTTATAAATCAAACAAAACCGCCATCTTCCCTTAGCTAGTAGTACCAAGAGAAGTTGTATCAAGGTAACAGAAAAATAAAACATCTAATATAATATTACCAATGTAGTAGCTTAGTATCATTCGCATACCGAATGTACTTAACCAAATTCATGTACTTAAAATCGAATCTTTTAAAATATTTCTCCATTAGAAACATTTCAATGACCATAATATTTATCCAGTGAGTAATAAAATGCACGGATTTACTAGATAAAATTCATTCACACTTGTTGCTAAGAAATTAAGAAGAAATGATAAGTGTACATGGTGTAGAATTATAGATATATCGCGTAGAAAACTATACTGGGGGAGCGGGGGCTCTCTGTCACGACGAGTAGAAACCGCTCTCAACTCTGAACTCTTTGAAAGTAGGAAGCACATTCGGTGTGGCTCTGTAGAACAAGTAAAGATTAACCAATGTCACGTGGTCGGCGTTCTATGCGTAACGCAAAGAAGTACAAAAGGAATCGACTGTTTCAATTGTCTCCGATACCAAACATGTAGTCACGCAACGATGGACAACGGAGAGGGACGTTGTCAGGTGCGTAAAGTTGGCGGGATGAATTTTGAAAATCTTGAAAATTTAGAGTTCTGAGTCGCAAAGAAAGAGTTTTCGAGCACATGAAAAATATATAGCAAAAAATCAAAATGTATGATGTAACTTCTTAGAGTTCTGAACAGCGGTCAAGGAGTTTTAGAGATCCCCCAAAAAACAGAAAATAACTAAAAGATATCCAAATTATTGAAAAAATGTATGAACACTTGCCCAATAAGTAGCAACACAATGAGTAGCAGACTGTTCAAAGCCACGATTTAAGTCTCAAAAGCAAGCATTGCGTTCTGACGGAAGTTCAAACTATTAAACATTTGTAATAAGAAAAGAACAGATGAAATATTTCACAATTGTGGGGCAGTTTTTGTTGCACATTCATGTACAATAAAAGACCTTTTTTCAGTTTTCTTCTTTTTCAGTTTTTCAAGAGTTCTGGGGCGCGAATAGAGAGTTATAGCGAAATTAAAAATCACGTTTCCCAACTGCTATAGAACATGGTAATCATCCAACATTTTTAAGGAAATTGAAGGAAGAAAATAGATGAAAGTAAGGGCACTTTTGTAAGGAAAATGTTGCAATAAAATGTTTTCTCAACGTAAATTTTTAGAGTTAAATAAGAATAAGGCAAGTGGAATTTTATAACCCGATATAGCTTGGTCTACAAGACCTGTGTTCCATCTATCTGATATTTCCTAATAACTCCGTGGTATTGTTGTATAGTAGGTGTCTTTGAATTAGATATGTTGTATTACTTTAAGATGGAACGGAGTAACAATTTTTAAATCTATAATTCGCCCGTCGCTCTCCTATGCGTGCTCAGGCGCTGCAAACAGACTTATTAATAAATAGGGAATAATCCAAAACAAATTTCTAAGACTGGTTATCAAAGCTCCCTGGTTTATTCCTGGTGCACATATCCAAAGAGAATTAAACATCAGTTGCATTAAAGGGTACTTAAAAACTATCGATAATTATTAATTGAAGGCTTGACGCTTGTCCCAGCAAAAGAACTTTCAACCTCAGTAGAACAGCTTATGCATTCAAGATATTGCCACGCTTTTGAAAGATCGCTTAAAGCCACCATGAATTGCTGATAATGAGGTTATAAACACTGTATGTGATTGTTGTAACGGTACATATCTGTTATTCACGAGTGTGGTATTTTTACTCAATGTATATTTTTCCAAATGTATGTATATTTTTGTATATGTGTTGTATTAATGGTAAACAGACACTGTAGATAAATTGAACCATAAGGACGAAGGGCGGCAACAAATAAAAAAAACACTTTAAGATGGTCGAGTCAAGCAGAAAAATATTTTCGTAACCCCAAATTAGAGTGAATGGCACGGTCAAACGCGTCACGTGTAACCATCAAGGAAATGTAATCGATTACTTGTACTACTGCCCCAGTAAAGTGTGGACACACGGGCCCTCGCTCGTAGAGAGCAGCCAAGTCCGCTACTCCCCGGCGAGACAGCTGCTTCGCGTCGACTATCAGCGCGAGTGACTGACCGTAAAGAGCGCGTTTCGCTATTTTAAGCGCCGCGCAGCAACCTTCGCCATGGCCTTCAGGACCTCCGCGAGCGGAGCGGAGCGGGGCGGGGCG